TTTGAGATATCTCAAAGCGCTTCACAGAATATACTGTAAAGGGAATTGGCTGTATATTTTGTTTGTGGGGCGAAACGTGGCAGCCAATTGTACACAGCAGTGTCCCACAAACAGTCGTGGATTTGGTGACCAATTTATTATTATTATTTTTGGGGGGCTTGATCACTAAAAATATCAAGTGGGTTTAGTATTTGACTTAAAGCAAACAATAAGAAAGTAATCTTCAGGGCAAGAGTCATCTCTTCAAAAGATTGACTTGCTGAGAATATTATATTTTCATGCATATGGAGCCCTCGCCCTGTCACAATGTGTTGTGCATTTCAATGCAGTCAAGTTCTTTTCTTATAATTCTTGACTGTGCCACCATGATCAATCTCAAAATTACACAACATCTGGAATAACTTCAGATCAGTTTCCCAATGTTATTGGAGTTATGCATTTTCTAATGATTCTTTTCTAATCCAGAGACGCTCGAGCTTTGACAGTTGAGATCTCGAGTGTTTGTTCCCTTCCTTTCTCTTGCTGTGTCGATACAATGTTAGCAGCAACAACTGCAGCTCAGAAGTGTCGGAGTTTACGCTATCAAATGTAAGACATGGTTACAACGTACCATTGTTAAAAGAATTATAATCCTTGAAGTTGACATAGCCTCTATAATGTCAACTTCTCAAAGCACCTTGCAGCTAACTGCTGTCAAGATTAGTGACACCGTATTTGAGGCCTGCATGTATGTTTTAAAGGTGTCAAGTATACAGAAGCATTAGGTAGACACGTTGTTGAATAGAAACAAGATTGTATGATACATAAATATGAAATTAATAGAGTGTTTTAATAATACCATTCCTTGCATTTGATGTAGCGCCTATTTTTCAGCAATGTTCTGCAAAGTATAGTGACTGTGTACAATAAACTCCTGATATATTGTCACTCCAAAGGAAAGGAGCTCAGTCTCTGTATCCAGGGTATCGATATAGGCGTGAGTCCTTCGGAGCCACTAGGGGGTACTGTGGCCGGGAGGACCTACATCAACACACACTGACCAGTTTTTATGCTATACCCTGACTTAACAGTCAGGCTCCACCGCCGTTAGGCGCTCTGAGACGCTACCCTGTGTGCAGGGCACTATATAAGTGCAAGTTGTTGTTGTTGTTACCCTGTTGTCAAGTATCAGCTAAATAGGTAGCACATGTAATAATAATAATAATAATAATCCTTGCATTTGATATAGCGCTTTTCACGTCGGGAGGACGTCCCAAAGCGCTTCACAGAACACAATGTAAAGTGAAGTGACTGTATATTTGTGGGCGAACGCGGCAGCCAATTGCGCACAGCAATGTCCCACAAACAGTCGTAGATTGAAAATGACCAATTTATTATTGTTTTTGGTTTTGGAGGGATTATTATTAGGCTCTGTGTGGAGTAAGGAAACTTGCCCAAGGTTTCGCCCTCTGCCTGGAATTGAACTCAGGTCTCTCGCTTGCAAAGCGAGTGCTCTAACCACTGAGCTACAGGACTCCACAGTAATGAATATTTAACACTTGGCCATTTCACACTATGTTTGTCACCGATTTAGATTTTCTGTCACTTCCTTCTGAAGGATTGTGACACATTCTATGTAGCTGACAGCAGGATCAGAGTTCCTGTACTATAAAGTGATTTTCTCACTTTTCCAGATGCATAAAAATGATAGTCTTTTCGGCAGATAGCTCTTTGGATTAAATTAGTTTAATCTTCTGAGGACCACCCCACCTTCAGAAATCAATACTGGTTTAGAGTTACAACTCTTCATTTTTTTGGGGGGATGGGGTCAGCCGGGTGTCTGACACATGCAGGAACCCATCACACTGCTTACGAGTATCCAAAAGCAAACTGAGTTCCATGCATCCCACCTCCACATAGAAATTCCAGAGATGCTTATTGGAATGGAATGCACACTCTCTCCCTGGCGGGACACATCTTGCTTACCTATTTTCAGAGAATATTAGGCATAGGTTGACCCCAGAGTGTGCATTGGGGTACTGCTGGAGTTTTTACCAGCTAAAACTGCATAGCTTGCCTTTGAAAGCACTGCCTGGCAAGCTTTTCCGCTGTCTGTCCAGCTAAGACCACCCTACCCATTAGGGCTTTGGCTTGTTGGAGCTGAGTGGAATGACTGACTCCCTGCCCCCACTGACTTGTCTGCCCTTCTGAGTCCTGCTGATAAGCCAGGCCGGCTGTGCTGTCATCAGCAGTACCCTGGAATACTGCAAAACTGCCTTGTTCAGAATCCAGACTACCAACACCACCACAGAGGGCTATCTTGATTCCGACATTCTGTTGCCCAAAATGTCACCTTGGAGCCAGTTCACTCTCAAGGAGACTCCACTTACCAGATGATGGGGGCAAAAAGACTGAAGGCCTAACTGCTGATGGGGCAGGCAGGGCGGGGGACATGGAACAGGCCAGTGCCCACTGAGTGGAGAGAATGGAGAAGGTTGGTAAGATAATCAATTTATCTGGAGAAATTGTGGCTTGGATACTACTTGGGATCTTTCATGGTATCTTTCGAGCTACTTTCAGTGGCACCAGTTCTGCACATTTGTGTGTCAAGAAAAAGTACTCATTTGATTCAGTGCCAGTCTGGTCTAATGGGTACGTGTATTAACACCTGGGGATCTGGAGCAATCCTGGGATATTTGCTTGCTTATCATTTGTTTCTAAAAAAAACATTTTGGAGTTGTGATTGTGACCCTCCTTCTGAAATCTGGTTCATCGCAATACTCCTCTCCAATCAAAAAGGATGTTCTGGTGATAGAATCCTAAGATGGATTGCTTTCTGTTCAATATCTGTTTACATGATGATAATAATCTTTGCATTTTGATAATTGACTTGTGTCATTGAAACAGAAATGAATGTAAAGTTTAGGAGCTGTGTATTTGTAAATATTAATAATAATCCTTACATTTGGTATCACACCTTTCAAGTCTCAAAGCATTTCACGGGAAACACTGCAAATTTGGTGGTGCCGTCCGTCGGATGACGAGTTAAACCAAGGTCCCATCTGCCTGTTTAGATGGATGTTAAACAATGCTTTAGATGAAATTGGTCATTCACTCCATAGCTATTTGTGAGACAATGCTATAATAATAATAAGACTTGCATTTGATATAGCGCCTTATCACATCTTCGAGGCATCTCAAAGCGCTTCACAGAATATACTGTAAAGTGAATTGACTGTATATTTTGTGGGCGTATCATGGCAGCCAATTACACACAGCAGTGTCCCACAAACAGTCGTGGATTGAGTGACCAATTTATTTTTATTTATTGATATGGGCAATTGGCTGACACATTCACCCATAAAGTACACAGTAACTATGCTTTCAGTATATCCTGTGAAGCACTTTGAGACATCTTGACGATGTGAAAGGCGTTTTATCAAATGCAAGGAATATTACTGTGGCTTTTCGTAGCATTGAGGATACTTTCAGTATCTTCACTTTAGTTCGGCTGCACCCCTGTGTAGTGAGGGGTGTGCCTGTAGGAAATTGCTTCCTTGAGCTTGCCTTGCCGAAGTGAATATTTCCCCGGGAATTATTTTCCTCCTAAGCTATGTTCAATAAATAATTTATTGAGTGAATGTTTATGAATAAACACTATTTTAACAAGCTTCTAGTAAGTATCTTGGTGTTCTTTGCTGACTGTGTTATTAAGTAAATAATGTCTCACATGAATTTGTTAAATAAATAATTATTGTCTGGATTTATAAGTTTGTAATTTTTACTAACTGACAGGCCTATAATTAATAATAAATGGGTGAATCTATATTGACTAATTAACTGACTAAATGGAATTAATGATTGATTGTGTTTGATACATATATCTCTGAATAAGCCATTGATAGGCTTTGATAAGACGGTAACTCAATCACTACCTGAACCTAGTTGAAATAAAATGTAACTTTTTATCAATGAGATAAAGAAACAACGGCAGATTACTTACTGAGTGAAACATTATTTGAATGAAATAAAAAGGAAAAGCTCAAATGGTCAGGATCTGACATAAAACCAGTAAAGGTCCCACGTGCCTTATTATTATTCAGTGGGTAATAATCCCTTCAAAATTAAAAAAAAATTGATCACTCAATCCATGATTATTTGTGGACACTGTTTTGTGCAATTGGCTGCTGCGATTCTCCCAAAAATACACTGTCAATCCACTTTACCATATAGCTTATGAAGCGCTTTGAGACGACTCAATGATATCCTTGAATGATGAGCAATTGGACCCAGGCCCTTCCCTCTCCACCACTGAACCTTTAGTAGCTGCCACTTCGAAGAAATTGTGTGGAAAAATTGCATGAGTATTTACGTAAGCCAATGGGCCGCTCCAGTCTGAACTGGATATTGTGTTAGCACTGCTGTGTTTCTGTAGCTAAAGCCTTGCAGCATCCTTTGTAAGTGAGAGCAATGTGAAAGAACAATACAGTACAAATTTACATTTACATAGCGTCTTTCACGTCAGGAAGACTCCCCAAGACAGGAGAGTCGAGGGTTTGCACCTGAGTTGGGGGTAGGGGTCAGGGGTGGGAGGACATGGGGTATGGGGTGAAAATGGCCAAAGGCAACATAAAAGGTTTTGAGGTGGACCTTAAAGGAGATGAGGGATGGAGTCGTAGGGACTCCAGGATGGACTTCCAGATAATGGGGGCAGGTATGCTGAAAATCTGACTTCCAATTATGGGGTGGGAGATGTGAAGCAGGCCGGTGCCCACAGAGCGGAGTTAGTGGCCGGATCGATAGGATTTGAAGAGATCACAGAGGAGGGTGGGGCAAGAGCATGGAGGGATTTAAAGGTTAGGACGAGGATCTTGAGCTCAATCTGCCAGGGATTGGGGAGTCAATGGAGCTGGGCAAGGATGGGTTTGGGGAGACTAGTGCAGGAAAGGACACGAGCTGTAGAGTTTTGTATAGTTCTGGATAATCTTCATGGACTAAATGTTGCTGTGTTACTTTTACAGGATAAGGAACTATGAAAAAGATGAGCAACATCTATGAGTCGGCTGCAAATACACTGGGGCTCTTCTCCAGCCCCTGCTTGACTAAAGTGGAACTGAGGGTCTCGTGCAAAGGGATATTGGACCGGGATGCGCTTTCCAAACCAGATCCCAGTGTCATCCTCAAAATGCAGTCACATGGCCAATGGCTGGAGGTACATTGAATGCGATTGTGTCTCTTTTATTCTCAAGTGTTGTGCTCCACCTGGTCTGTCCCTAAATTGTGATCCAAAAGATGTGGAAATAGTCAATTTTGTCAACAGGAAGCGCTAAATAAAGGATGATTACTTGTTTGTTATTAATTTAAAGGTGCAACAAAAGAAATTGTAACTTTTTAAGTATCGCGCTTCTATTTACTCAAACAAAATGCCAAACTGAACTGATAAACCACCCTGTTCATCTTACGTGAAAGTTGCTATTGGGGTGTATGTTATTGTTGTTGAGCTTCTACTTTTGCCTGTTTTAGAGAGCTTTGGCTTCCACTCAGAACTTTCCCTTGTCTGTATAGGCAAGATCAGGCATTCAGTGCTGAGGATCATTGCAGGACAGTGCATTGGAATTGGTAGCATAGGAACAGGAGAAGGCCATTCAGCTCATCAACCCTCTCCATTTTATGAGATCTATTCAACCCATTTCCCAGATAAGGATCTGTCTTCCTTTTAAACATCCCAGGCAGTGTCCGTAGGGCACATTTATATTCACCTTCATCTCACTGTGGCTGTAGCCATTGAGTTCTCTGTCTATTTCCATTCATTTAATCATAAACACTCCCTGGGGTTTTGTTGGGAGGCTGACAGGAATGAGAAGGAGCACAGCTTTTATGGCAATGTCCTCCCTGAGCCTGGCAATGAGCCAGGATCTGCTCCATCACCTTTTGATTACATTCAATTGACAGATGATGGGTGGACCTAGCTCATTTTCATTAATTGTTCATTGTTGTAGAACTGGAGACTAAATTGGAGAGCTTCACATCCCAAAATCGGCCGCAAAAACGCCTCAGAAGTCTTTAATGGGAGTAAAATCCATTGATCTGATTATTGTTCCTATAGCTGCACAAATGGGAAAAGCTGTAAGATGTCCTGTGGAGCCAGAGAGCGGAAGCCACATGCTTTGTACCTTGGTGAATAATGGAGAAAGAAACTCCACAAAGGACACTGCAAACTTGGAAACACAAATAATCAGGAAATGCTAGTATTACACAAGGCTTATTGCATACAGTACTTGTCTTTTGTGGAGTGGTGCTGTGTTATTTCTCACCAGGTTACTATTAGCCAATTCCCTTATTATGCTGCTCCATGGATCATTATAATATTAATAATTAATAATGATAATAATCCTCGCATTTGATATTACGCCATTCACATTAGGAGGACATCTTAAAGTGCTACACAGGATTTAACGTGGTGCAGTGACTGTGTAATTTGTAGACGAATTCAGTGAATATATGCACATCAGTGTCCCTCAAAAGGTTATGAAGTGAATAATCAATCTCATTTGGGTGATTGTTGGCCAACATTCACTTGAACAAGATTGATCATTCACTTAATTCACTTCAGTCTCTCCTTCGCACCCGAGTGCTTGAGAAACATAAGCAGAGTCCATCAGGAGTTGAAGCCAGTATTTTTATTTCAATGCCACTTATTGGTAGCTCGGAGGCTTAGTGCACCAGTGCCCAGACCCATTGAAGGAAAGCGGAATTCTACTCGCAACCCTATAACGTGCCCACTTTTCTTCTTTCCCCTCTCTGTTCATCTCTCTTTTCAAGACGGCTTCTTAGATGGTTAAGGGTCCGTGATCATGACGCCTAAAAACTGCTATCTTGTACTATTTTTAATAAGCTGCTACTCTTTTATAATTAATGCTGACTATGGCAACTGTGTCTAGCAGCACTATTACAGTTCATGAAAGACACTAAACTGCTTTATAGACCTGAACCTCAGGTCCAGTGAAGCAATTAGTGACCATTAGTATATCACATCCAAGGAACCCTTTTCATTTCTTTCAAATGACAGCCCGAGTCAGACGCCTCACAGGCAAAGTAAATTTGCTTTGCAAAGAACAGTCTGCCAATTTAAAAAAAAGTATTATAATTTCATGTTGGCAGGAGAGAGCGCTTAACGCCCTGCTGACAGTGTCTCCTTGAAACTTCCTTTCACAGCATAAGGGTTTTATAAATGTTTAAAATAACTTGTAGCTTAACAATTGTAATTTTTTAAAAAATGAATCAGTGCTGCTCTTGAGAATTTTTTTTACACATCGTGGTGCTGGATGCTGTGATGAATGTTCTTTGGGAGGAGTTTTAATGAAGTACAAACACACAAATATTACTCAGATGCTGGAACAAATGTGGACTCGTTTGTGTAGGATGTGTAATCTTATCACCTTGCAAACCCCACTGGAGTATTCTTAGTCCTTTGAAGGCTATAAAGTCTCTCATCATTCCTTTTCTTCCAGGACACGACCGGATATATATTCCCAAGTACTGTGTCCCTTCAGTGGCTCTTAGAGAGGCAATAGCAGGTCAGGAAGCTTCTCTTCGTACAGAGGCTTGTGACAATGTGGAATGCTGTGCTTCAGGAAGCTGTAGTGAGTGAATCCATATGAATGTTTAATAAAGAAAGACAGCTACTTGGTAGTTAGAGGTGTTAAGGGGTATGATGACAGACAGGGCATCAGGATTAAAAGATCTGGCAATATTTAATAAACTGGTAGAACAGGCTTGATGGGCTGAATGGCTTCCTCCTGTTTCTGTTTTCCTAGTAAGGAAGTGAAACACTCTGCATGTGGGGGAGTGATATGGAAGGGAAGAATATTCCTCTGTCTATAAAGGCCAATTCAGCTCTTTAAGAAGGGATGCTGATGATATTGAGAGCAAAGCCATGCATGGAAATATCATCAGAACTATCTCTCGATTGTCTGGCTCGCCTATTTATATACTTATGCTCGGTGGCTTGAATGAGAAGAGGAATATGGGTCTCCATGTTCATGGTGATTCTACAGGGGCATAGACCATCTGCTTTTAGAGTTTAGCACTTGGCTGACCAGGTGTATCACCATGATTTTGAATACCAATATATTAAAATGTTTGCAGAATATGTACGTGGTTGGAAAGTATTCACGGGAATTGTCAAAAGTACCTGGCAGGCACAGGAGTAATACTACTCGAGCAGATCAAAGAGTGGCCTTATGTAATGCACTGAAACAATTATTTTGTACTCTACTATGCTTAGCATTGTTATGATACAGTCCATTTATTTTATTATATTATGTCACATAGCATGGAGGGAGAATTAAATAATAAAAGGTTTAGTCCTGTGACACTGGCTATGGTCCTGTACTGTTTTTTGGTGTCTCTTCATTCCAGATTAATTTCTCCCCTGTGTTAAATTTCCTTTCCTGAAAGTGCAGATTAACATTGAGGTTCCACACTTGGCAACAGCCTTCAGTACCTGGCTGTTCTCCACTGAGCTTGCCGATTTCAGGACCCAATCCATATATGTACACTCACAGTAGGATGATTGGATAGTGATCAGAGGTCTGAAATGGTTTCATCCTTAAGAACACTGTCTTAAAAGTTAAGAGTGCAGAATTTTGGAAAGTATTCAATTTGAATTGGAAAGATGTTTTCCCTAAACCAGAATCCAAATGGAGTTGTGAATTTAAAAAATTTCTAAAACTTTACACAATGTCAATTGTTGAGGATTTTAGGCTAAAACTATTGACATTTCAGGCTTCAGGAAACCTGGCTTTTCCTTGTCCTTTCATCCTCAGAAAGGTCTTAGAGTTCAACTGCTTTATATAGAAGATCTGTTATTTAATTATCAATGGGTGGGACACCAATGTTATCAATGTGACAACTAACACACCGCATATTGTGTTTTCTTAACTAGCAGATTGATGTTTGAATCTAAATGTTAATGAATCAACGGCCAAATTTCATTTCATAAGGTCAGGATCTCCCATTCCGGTGTAAAGTTGGAACATTCAATCTAGCCTTTCATAGATGGGCCATTTAGACATTCATTCTGTAAATGCAGGAGTGAGTGAGCGTGAAGAACTGATCTGACACTGCATTCAATTTACGTTTACAACCTATTACCAGGCTTTTTCTCAGAACTAAGTGGATAATGAAGCCATATATTAATTGTTTTACATTACAATATATTATAACCTTGACAGGCTATTCATTCACAAAAAAGAGAATCTGAAATTGGCTAGGAGTCCAATGATCGACCACAGATTGGATTCACACATCTCCATTCAGCAGGTATTCCCAGTAACAGGTTGTAGCTCATAACTGTATTCAGTTGCAGGTCTAGCGAGGGTTTAGAGAACTTCAATTGAGTCACTTAGGGAAAAACCCGATTTAAAAAAAAATTGTTATGTTGCTTGTATCTGGGTCATGCTTCAGCCTGCGACTACACTCGCTGGTGGACTCTGAGCCCATACAAACCCCTTAGTCTCCATCACACTCGATTGGCATCCCATGCATTTAATTTGATACTCACAGTATTTCTTAATGCACCCAATTGCTTCTCAGTGCTGTGTTTATTTTATTTTGACAAGCCGTTTGGTCCACTGAGAGTCAGTGAGCTCAGCGGATCAGCCGACTGCTATGCAGCTTAGTGATAGATCAGTAGCTTGCGATGACAAAATGAACCACAGGCCCTCTCCTCACACGTATACTGTCAGGCTGTTTGCTGCCTGTGGGATCAATGTCAGCAAAGGGATCAGTTATGGCAGCGCTGCACAATTCCTGGCGCTTTGAGTCAGATGGTGATTCTACAATTTTAATTGGGTCTCCTCACACGGTTGTGCCCGCTGCTGGTGCCGTTGGCTGACAGTCTAAGTGTAAAGGCCATTAAGCAGCAGTTTTGCAATATGACAATTCAAGAATTTAAATCAGAAATATGTACATTTTTGAAAGCATAGGATTCAATTAATTTCTGCACTTTATAACTAGGGGACATAACTATCAGAAATTGTAGGAACAGATCTACAGCAACATCAACTTGCATTTACAAAGCGCCCTTCACTCAGGTAGCATCTTGGAGCACTTAATAAGGAGTTTAGGAATAAAAGGAAATTTCTTCCCGCAGAGGCTGGTGGCAATGTGGAATTCACTACTACAGGTTAAATACATATCAGAGCATTG